CAAAACAACTGAACACAAAGATTATCAACAGTAGTTCTTTAGAAATGCAAACACTAATTTCCTAGATTCGATGAAATGTGAGTATTTATGCTGATTCTCAGTGAGTGACTCTTTATCGGTCATTGTTTGTCTTCATGAGTTTAGAGTTTGTGCTTGAAAGGTGGTTGGTTTAATTGTTAAGTTTCAGTCTTTGAAAGAAACTGAACTTCATGTTATCAACAAAACTAATAATTGTTCTTCTGTGTTTAAGATCTTATGTATAGTGCCCAACACTCCACTGCCACTTCAGAGTACTTGAGAATGTGTTTATGCTTGAGTGCGTGACTCTAGGTCAGAGGGCCAAACACCTTTGACTTGTGAGCTACGGACCTTAATCCTCTAGAGACCTACTGGAAACAAACCAAAAGTTTTGGAGCATTGAGGCAACCAAAAGCTCCAGGAATGGCTTGAAGATGCTGCCTTTTCAGGTTGTTTTCCACTACTTCATTGTAATAGCAGGGAATAGGATGTGTACTGAGATTGTAAGTGAACCCTGTGATGTCAACATAATTTTTTTCTCCACTGCTATGATTCAAATTAGTGAGTAGAAAAAACTTTTGTTACTTGTGTGACATACCTCTGACACAGGGGCCAGAATGTACAGACTTGGTAGCCAGAGGCAGCCAAGAGTCATAGACTAGTCACTGGTGTAGTTCGTATTTATGCTGTGTTCAGGCCAGAGCATCAGTATAGGGAATGATCAAACCCTAAATGAGGAACAAAACCATTCTGAGTTGTAGTGTTTCCAGAGTTAGTATCATATTGGAATTGTCGTTGTTCAGTTCCTTACTGAGCTCTTGTTAGAAATACACAAATTGTGGAGGAATGGAAAATGGTCAAAATCCCTAAGCATGTAAAGAAGAAGCAAAGAAGAAAGATATTACTGTCCTTCCTTTTCAAAGCCAAAATGTTATAAGGTAGCCTAGGAGTCAGATCTCTGCTTATGCTTTAGAAAATTCATGCTGACAAAGGCTCCCAAACTTTGCGACCTGTGGGTCTCTATGAGCATCACATATTCGTTGCTATTCACAATTCACTGTTTCATCAGCTTTTTGCAAAATGAGTTGTGAGAATATAATTTCCAGCTGCTTACCATAAACCACGTTTGGTTTGTAGACTGCTACTTGGGAACTGATAATGTAGCCAGGACTGCCTGTCATAAAAAACACCCTCATGACATGCTTATTGGCAGCCAAAACACACAAGTTAGAGTCTGAGCACACACTGAAACTATGGTATGTTATTTTCACATATGGTAAAAAAAGCTTTGAATTAGTGGTGAGGCAAAATAGTAGGAAGCTTAAATCATCTTTGATAAAGCTTCATCCATTTCTAGAGAAAGAGATTAGTGCATGTGAAATGGAATGTCAAGGATATTAGAAGAGTGTCAAGGTACATATGTACGACCAAGTCAGAGAAGAAAGCCTGCAATATGCTTTCCTCTGTCAGTAATGTAATACGTCTTTGGCACTGGGAGTTCACTATGTTTTACCTGTATGAAATCACACAGGGAGTTTTAAGCAGAACATTACTCCTACATTGAAACTGAAGATCCAGGTAGGCAGACGTCCTTACTCTTATTGGAAGTTTTATCTCATTATTTCATATGGATGAAGACAATGCAATGAGCAGTATGCAAACAAACTCTTGCTAAGCGGACAACCATGTTTTGAAAATAAATAGCAAAGATAAACTACCAAGTTATTTAGGTTACTGAAAATGTTTTTTGCAAGTGATAATTGCCACTCAAGGAAGAGAATGCCAGCAGTGACTGTTGTTAGCAATATTTCAGGACTAACACCAGCGTTTATGACAGAGCAGTGCTACAGAGAAAAACTTTAATTTAAAAGATTTTATTAATGCATCTCCAGAGCTCAAGACAAAGGTACATTTTAGTTAGATAGATGTAGTTAAACGCCCACAGAACTTGATGTAGACTCAATAAATTGTGACCTTTTCTTGGAAGAAATGCAAAGCATTTCAGGAATGATAAGATTCCAGAAGTAGTCAGTCCTCTTTTCTAAGACACTCTGAATCCATGCCTGACTGTACTAGCAGGTGCTGTTTTTAGGAAGGTATAGGGTAATGGCAATGTTTAGTCAGTACCAAATGGGGTTTGCCACCCATTTCTTTTGATTTTTTTAAACTCTTATACTTTTTGATTTGTCATAGTGTTAAGGAGTAGAAGGCAAGATCCTTTTGTAAGGAAACAAAATAGAGACATTGTGTGAACAATTATGATAAGGAATATGGTTAGACAAAATAGGTGGAATAGATCTCCAAAAAGCAGATTGACTACTTTTAAGTAGCAGAGTAAGGTTTTTGATCTTGTGTAGTGATCTTGACCTAAGGCTACTGCAGTGGGGCATCTTACTTCCTCCTTATCAGATGGAAAGGCATATTATTGTGGCCGTGATATTTAAGTTGTCCATAGTCTCTTTATTTGCACTTTCTCAACACTTTCGGAAGACTTTGAAAAATAATCCTTTTCACTGAAGTTTTCTTATATCTTCTCTTTTAAATAAGTTCTTTCTATTGCTGTAGGAACATTGGGACCTTTGGTTCTTAAAAATATACCAGCTTGGCTTTATCTTTGCTCCTGCTTCTACTCCTTGTTTCTGAGATAAAATTTATAGTGTTGCATTTTTCCTAGTTTTGTACAAGAAAATTTCCTCTGTGAGGAATATAGGTACTTTAAATTATTATATGAAAGAATTAGATATAAATCTTCTTGGAAACATAATTATTTTTTATGTTCTGACATTGATTTCTGAGTTTAGATTGACCTTGTTAAATTTTTTATTTTTTTTTAACCACGGGTATTGTGATAACAGTTCTCAGACTTTGCAGGTATTTACACTTCATGGCACTGATCCTGAAAGGTTTTCTTTGGTAATGGTTTTCTTATCTGTAGAGGACTTCACCGGAAGCAGTGGGACTCAATATATGTAGTATTCAACCCAAGAAAAGGAAATTTCAGGGGCAGAAATATAATTTATAAACAAGCAAGGCTTCTAGGCAATTTTCTGACTATAATACACATGCTCATTTGTACAATTGTAGCTCAAATATTGCATTTCCAAAAACTTTTCAACAGAGTAAGAGGAGCAGATATCTTCATATCTACATAAACCTTTAGCCTGAGTAGTGTGTCACTTGACCATATATATTATGGAACAGTGCTATTTATTTAGCATGGTAGAAAAATTACTGTGAAACAAGAATAAATGGTAAACATGAATAACAACACTACCAATGTATAGAATCAGTCTTTTGTCAGACAATATATTAAGTATTTCTATACTGAACGTATCTGAAATCTTTGGACTGGCTTGTAATTAGGCTCCTTTCCAAAAGTAATCCATTAATACAATAGCTGCCCCAATCCCAGTTCAACTTAATTTCACTGGCTTTGACTTTTGGACTAAAAGCATTAAGCTTGAACTAGCTAAAAATGTACAAAATGTGCATTCAATTAAGGAGTAATTAGATACTCAATCACCCTTACATCACACTAGGGATTATCCAAGAAAGAAGCGAGATACTACTCACTGCAGTGTATAAAACAGTTTTCTTAATTAGTTTAGCACTAATTGAGATTGAGAAAGTGTCATTGTGTCACAGCATTAGTTTGCCTGTATGGAACCTTAAGAACACAAAGGTATTGGCTTTTTTCGAGCTTTCTTACTCAGATTTTTCAGTCTTAGTCACTGATCCAGTACCTGCTGACCTTGCAAATGGAAGCCTTCTGTTCACTTCAGTGAGTGGGTTGGTTCATTGTATCAGCATCCCACTGAAAAGCATTCCAAGAGTTTTTCAGAGATGAAGAATAACTTATTATTATTTGGGGTTTTTTATGTTATGCCATCATATCAAACCCCAGGAAGGACTGAGAATCCTCTGTGCTATTATGTAGAGTGTAACTGTGGCTAAAACCAGCTGCTGTGTGAAGGACTTACAGCCTCCCTTAGAAGGCAGCTTGTAGAAAGTTCTTCAAGTGGACCATTAAATGATGTTGCTGCCAGACGACTTTTTTGGGGAGATCTTGAATGACAACCAGGGAGCACATGCAAATCATGACACAGATTGTCTCTGTGTAGGCAAGATTGACTTAGCAGTGCTGATGGTGGCTGGCAGCCTCTACTCTCCCTTCCTCTTTAAGTAAAAGAGTGGGAACTCTTTAAAATGTGTTGACTCTTCCTTGTAGCCCCAGGTGATCATTTGCACCCAAGGACTTACAGATTGTTTGTGTGTATGAACTGAGTTATAGTTAGAACTAAAATAACCTCAGGAAAAAAAAAAAAGGAGATTATTAGTATAACAGAATGAAATGGTTTGGCACTGCCTCTGAACTGAGAGCATTAGGGCAACCTGAGCAGCTGATTTCTTAAGGTTATACCAGAGCACATGAATATGTGTTTGCATGAAATTGAGTATCGATTAATCTCTGCTGCTAATGAGTAAGAATATTATTGCTATTAGAACAAATTGGGTGATTGCTTTCTGTCTCCTGAGCCCACCTGACTCCCATAAGAGCTGGGTACTCAGCGCTTCACTTGGTAGGGCCTCTAAAATAGTAAATGGTAAAAAATTCTCTGTGACTGCTGTATTTTTCTTTCTAGTTTACTGCCATTCACACCACGTTAGAATCAATTACCAGATTGATTCAGTAAGTCAATTGTAGAACTTTGGTTTGAATTAAAAATTTTACCGTTGCATTTAACTTTGCATTTTTACTACTATTTCCTCCATTGCTAGTAAATCTTCCAGCACTGGCTTTACTCTGAAAGAGAAGAATCAGGACCATTATGTCACGAAAGTATATACCCTGAAACTGCTCCCACCTGCTGTCATGAAATCCCAGCTTTTAGTTTTCCCTGTCTCCCTGGCTGGACATAAACAGTCTTTCAGACCCACTGTGGAGGAATGTCAGTAACATAATTGTTCCATTCTCTTTTCAGAGAGGGGGAAGACAATGCTCCCACAGTGCCCGCAGATGAGAAATGGAAACTTTCTGAGGCTGCTGCTTCAGTTGAACCACAAAGCCTGTATTGTTTGTCTTCATCTAATTCAGCCTTGATAGACGGCTGTGGCAGTTGGTCTGTCCACATGGTCCAGTGAAATTCTGTGAATGGGGCTGCACATTAAAAGAAGAAAACACATTAAATCTTCCGATTCTCACTGTTAATTATTTTTAAATGGTAGTTATAATTGATTTTATAGTTACTTTGCCATTGCATTAAATAGTCATCTATGATCCAAGTAGTGCTGATTTTAAGCTTGGTATGAATGCTAGTATGTAGAAATACTCATTATTATTTTGAATATTAGATTTAATTCTATTCCATATCATTTCTTCTTCTGTCAGTAACCATCCTTTCTGTAGAGGGGAGGTGCATTCTATAAAGCTAAGAAAAACATTGTTCATAAAGAGTAATATACAAATTCAGATTTATTTTTTTGGCAGAAAGGAGCACTCCTCTGCCAAACATATACACTTAACATGGTTTATCTGAATAAAGCTGAATGACATTTGCATTACTAGGAACCTTACTGAAATAAAGGACAGTTTGGAACTAAGGAATATAACAATAAACTGAATTGTCTGGATTATTTTCTACTTGGTGGGTCATGGAACTTTGAAAGGAGTGTTCAGTTCAGGCAGAAAATTATCAGCCTTTGTTCTCCTGTGAATTATGACAGTTCCATTTGTTCTTTACATTGCTGAGGATGGCAGTCTGGGACCTACTCTGCATGTTCTAGGCTCACTGCACAGCATGGGGATTGCAATGCTGGGCCACACATGACTTACCTGACAGAGAAGATAAGGGAGTGGCACTCTAAACTAGGTAGTCAAGCTCATAACTTCTAATTGCTACAAAACACCAAGATCTGAAGGACAAAGTCAGTTATATGGGGGGCAGTAGCTTTTATCACCATAGCTATTAGTGAGGTCTGCTGTACTAGCATGAGTAGGCAGGTTTATGCAGAGACCTCTGTGAGTGGAAGAACCCCAGAGGCACAGATGGCAAGCTGCAGGCTGCGGCACAATGAAGATGCAGACTGAGGGTTCACAAAGGGGAAGTTCCTCCCTTGGAGCAGATCAATCATCAATCACAAAGTCATCCCCAGGCAATGGTAAATGCAGTGTCAGAAGGCATCCTTAATCCACCTTGTCAAGGGTTATGGGCAGAGCTGCTGCTGAATAATGAGTTTCGAACTCTCTGAGTCATTTATGTGTATATTAGGGGCAACAGTAACCATAGTACAAACCTACACACCATGTGAGCTGAGTGAGGGGGAGCAAATACTGCTGAGCACTTACTATGTTCATAACTGGGTGTACTGCAGAAATGTGTACTTCCTTTGGAGATACCCCTTGGCAGCATGCGTTGCAATAAACACATAGAAAATGTACAGCAAGCAGCCCACCATGAGGTCATCTGTTTATTTTGGGCTTAGCAGAGCAGCAATTGGTACATTGCTCCTTGGGCCTATAGAAACTTGTATTTCTTAGTGTTGTGTTTAAGGAGTTGAGTTTAAGGAATCCCTCTCCGTCTTCTGCCTACATTTAATGAAATATGACCCAAATATCTAGTCAATGGATTCAAGGTTTCAATGCTGTCCAAAACCACACTTCCCACCTCCAGTGTTCCCAGCATGTGGATGTAGCAACTTCAGTGGCTGCTTCCCCTCTACCTTCAGCAAGGACTCCCCAAGCAACCACAGGCAGAGCCCAACACTAACTCACTGATCACCAGAGCCTGGCCTCCCACTGATCCACATTGTACCACAGGGCAGGGAGAAATCTCTTCTGCAATGGCCTGGAATGGCTAGGCTGGGCTGTCTGCAGTTTTGGACAGGAACCTGATAATTTGTTCTAGTTATCAGGTTTGGTACTAAAATCTTGGTAAAATGAAATAAAGCTATATGAGGTGGAAGTCAACTGATTTCTACCAGCTGAAGGTCTGTTCTTGTCTTCTTTCACCCAGCAACGAGAGAACCCTCCAAAAGTGCAGTGAACAATCTTCCGAGCCTGATAATTCTCAAGTTATATCCACAGCTCATTCAGAAGGTCTTGTCCTTTTCCACACAACTTATTATTAACTACTGAGTGTTAAGTGACAGGAACTATAGTAGTAATATGGCAAATATTGACATTATGATGAAATCTGAACTATTCTCTAAATAAATACATTCCTTATCTTGGAGCTGGCTGATATTATTTTGGCTGTGAAATACGGATACATTGCAAAGCAAATGATGTAATGTCTCCACCAAAAAGTCCATTATTTCCCTTTCCTGTGCTCCCTTCCTCTGTTTGCTGTTCTTTCAAGCACTGCCTTGTGCAGTGAACTTCTAGTCATATAAATACTACTACTGAGGAATTGAGGTTAGTAAATTTGCCTCAACATTTGTCAGGCTTTTTTTTTTTTTCTAGGGTTGGCTTCAAAAGAAAAAAAAAATCGGTAGAAATACTTATAACTGCATCTTTTCTTAAGAACTAGATCTAATTCTAACAACAAATTCATTCACAAAACACACCCATTCTAATTAAAGATTGGTCAACCCACATTCGTGGTGTGTTGGGAAGAATCAAATTATTCTTTCTGGTTTTGGTAGGAATCCATAGGGAGGAATTTGCAGAAAGGGTTCTCAGTGTATTACTTCAGTTACACTGCACCCATGAGAGGTTTTATTGAGTGTGACAAGGCTCTGCTGCTCTCCAATTAGAGTTCCACATGCCTGCCTTTGTATTAAAATTTTTAAGAAATCATAAAGACTGATAAAGGTGTTCTGAGGTAGTGTAAGGTCCTAAATTAGTAACTTCCTCTTCAAGTCTATAGCTGCTAAAATTCTGAATCCAGTTGCTGTCTGGAAGTATTTTTAAAGGTAAATATTAATTTACATAATGCTCCACATAATTTTAAAGATTTATTAGAAATGTGAATTGTAACTTTCCAAGAGACATTGAGCAGTTAGACTCTTGTTGATCAAGAAATCAATGACATAATACTTAATAGCAGCTATGTGACTCATCAGGCAAAAGCTGACTCCACAGGCTTCTGGTAAACTGTGGGAAGGTATTGGGTAAAGGAAGAAATCCAGGTCTTGGGAGAAGGCAGGTGAGTTGGGGCAGGATGTCTGCTGTTGATGATCTTTCTTCTGCAGGCAACATGTTCTTTGGATCCCTCTGCAGTTTTCGGAAGCTCCCAGGAAAACACAGAGGCTTTAAACTCTTAGCTTGACTTCAGACCATAGTGCGATGTGCTTTGCACTCTGGGCTGTGATCATGGGCTCCCATTTTTCCATACCAGAGGAGCTGCTTCTTAGTACCATACCTCCCAAAACCTGCATTCTACCCTGGCTCCCACCTTTCTTTTGTGTGAAAATGAAGGCATAGGTGGAGCAATAATGAATTCTAGACCTGCTCCCAAAATACACCTGGGAGGTAACCAGGCATAAATTACTGTGGGTTAAAGGATAGGCTCCACCCCAGACATTATACTGGCAAGCATGGTATAGTGGTTGTGTATGGAAACAGGTGTGAGCTAGGACACTAATTCTAAGAGGAAATAAGAGTGGTCTCTGGCCAGCACCCCTGTCTGCCTCCTAAAGGTTGATTCATCAGTGTTCCTAATCTCAGATGGTAATTGAAGACTACTGTTACTGAAGCGTTAAAAGTGCTTAACAACAAGGCAACATAAAGAAAAAATAATTTTACTGAGAAATTTCAGCTGAATTTTTTTGAGACTGGAGAAGGAGCAAGGAGAGGACATCCATGCACATGCAGCTTCACAAGAAGTCATAGATATCAGTGTTTCCCAGACTCTGCCAGGGTGCAGCTGCCATAAGGCCAGAATCACCTTCATTGAGTTTGACTGGTGGGCACAGCACTGGTGCAGCAATGGCCTAGTGCAAATTAATTCTTTCATGGTTGTCACATCAACTCCTATGAGAATGAAGAGAAATTTCCTTCCTTGTAGAAATGAGGGGAGCTTCAGGGGGAATGATGGCTGTAGAGGAAAAGGGGAAAACCCTCTAAGGGTGGAGAACTGTGGAAGGGGGACAAATTTCAGCCTACCTTTTTCTCCTTGGCTGGGTTTCATGGTGGTATCATCAGCCATGACTTGCTTTGAGTTGTGTTCTTCCTTTATAAAGCAGTGCAGCCTTCTGAAATGTCAGGTAGCTGGAGAATCTTCTACAACCCCTCCTGAGGCTGGGCCATGCAGAGCATGTTTGGAAGTATTTAGGTGCGGCATTTATTTATGAAAATGTAACTGCCATTGTAAGCACACATCTGTGTGTGTATTCATCTCTTTAGAATGCTATACATAGAAGAACTATTTTTAAAACAAGAACAATTTAAAATGAACAGTAGAACTTCTAATTAAAGTTAACAAATTCCAGTATAAAGACTGTATGCCTAACATCATCTCACCAGCAGTTCACATATACTGTTGGTATTTGTATGATTGGGTTTCTCCCTTTGTTTAATTAATTCATGTTAAAGTCCTGTTCCCTTCCCTTCCCCCCCATTATTCATTATTCATCCCTGGGTTATTCATACTGAATGATTTTTGAGACTTGCTCTGAAGACATTATTCATCTATTCACGAGGCTTTCTCTCAGAGTATTTGTTTGAATGCATTAGACGTATTAAGGAACTTATCTTTACAATCACTTTGCATATGCCTTCTCCCCTGTATCATGTGAGGATTCCTCTCTGATCACAGACTGACTATCTGTATGATACCAGGCACAAGAAGAAGACCCAGAAGTCAGAGACAGACTCTTCATATTGACCTGCAACACATGTAGTCTTGTCCAGGAGAACTTGTTATACCTTAACTTAGCCTCATCTGCAAAGTTAAAAAAACCCAGCATTGACTCAGTAGTCAGAACACCTCTTCAGTCTTCTCCCTGATTGGCTGAGATGATGGCTTCTAAGTCAAGGTTTGTTTTTCAGTGCTGGGTTATTTTTTGTGACTCTTCGGTTTGTTGTAGTCAAATCCTTCTCACTGCAGTTTTTCTCATGCTGTTTACAGAGACAGTGTCAGTTCTTTATTTCCACTTGGCCTTCCCCACAGCCTGACCTCATCTTGATCCAAAGAGGCCCTCTCCTCCCCAGATAACAGGGAAACAACTGAAGGTGGGCTAAAAGAAGGGGAATATTAGGTAAACTTGAGAAGAATTTGCCCTATAAAGTACACAATGAGCTGTTTAAGCCTTGAGTAACAAAGAAAAAAGAAAGCATAAGGATAACTAAGCCAAAACAGCATAAGGAAACTTCCTTAAGTGTCCTTTTCACTAGCAGGGATGTGGTTGGAAATATTCCCTCTCTATTTACATCTCAACTTGCTTGTGTTGGAAATCGTCCATTCTGGATTGCATAACAACAGCTGACTAACTCACAGCCACCCAAATCAGTGATCAGAAACCACACCTAGCCAGCCTTATTCCCCGAGACTTCTGCTCTCCTGCTCCTCTCCCACCACGGATGGGGAATTGGCTGCTTGTCCTTGGACAGCAGTCCTTATCCCAAACCCTGTCTGTTCACCACGTTCCCTGTATTGGGTTACTTTCCCACTCCCACCACATCCCCCGAG